TGCCGGAAATCTTTATGAATGCATATAGACTATCGGCAGTTCTTATTGGGTCGTCAGAACTCTTACCTCGATTGTAACGCTTCCGTTTGCCGCTATTTTTAAGCGTCATTATTTTCATATATTCAATTTCAAAATTTGTAGTTTACGTCGCTGTATATGTGATATCTTTCGTTCTGGTTACAGTGGAAATATCTGCCCCTGGTTGACAACAACCCATGGAACACTCCTGGTTACTATATAACAGTGTCCACTGCTTTACGGTCTTCCCGGAACCTCACTTCCACCCCGTACTTTAATATTGTGGGGAGTCAGGGTGAAACAGGGCCTAGGATCATCAGCGACGCGCACAGAAAGGTAACTACCGAAGAAAACTTAGAAAATATACAGTTTTTTAATGTGTTCTCTCCGCTTTATAGGGACTTATAGAGTTACTGTCGGGTCTCGCTTCTAAACATTTGCTAGTTTTCAATTAATATGAGTCAAAAATCTATCCGTTTATTTGTACCTAATGTTCCCATGGCTTATCGCAGACAATCGCTTTCCTCGCCGTAAAAATAATTATATCATCTCATTACTACTTATCTAACCTTTTAACCTTCGATTTTCAGAACTTTCGGCCGGGAACAACATCTCACTTCTACGTCACAACGCCCACAAATTTGGGAACACTCAAACACGTGGTTGTGTGGCATGACAATGCAGGATCTTCACCAAGGTGGCTACTTACTAAAATCGTCATCCATGATATCTCGGACAACAACCGGTAGGCAAATATAAACTTTTTTTAAACATGCGAAACAATCTTTTATCTGTTATTTTTTTCTTGGTGTGGACGGAAGCAGGCGAAGGGTCTTAATGTGAGAGCAAACAGAGGTACATGGCAAAGCTCCACACAATCGGACAAGTAACTCTATACCTTTTTCCCATCCGACCTGGATATCGAACCCCGGTCGAATAGCTGCAAGACGAGTGCATTAGCACCATCCGTATCTAAGTAAATAAATAAATAACTTCAGTATTGTTCAGTTTTACTTGACATCAATGTTAGACGTGCTGGTATTAACGTGAAACCACACGCATACCCTTCCTGTGTATTGTAGGGTTATCGTTAAGGGTAAATGATAGGTTTCAAGCTAGATGTCTTCTTAACAAAGAAATTTAGAACTTCTTTTCCTAGTTTGATAAAGCAAATTGTGTGTTACCATAAAGCCTTTCAAAAATCATTAGTGTATCTTTTGAATTATTACAGAAAATATAGAAACACTTTATGGAAAATAAATTGGGTAATGTACGTATGATCCTACCCAATAGAAATGATTGATATAAGCCATTACTTTGTTTTACAACTGCTGTATAATAGTTTGTATTAAATGATGGAAAAGGTAGTCATCCGATAGATATCGCAGCCAACCGTATTATTCGTGTGTCTCCAAATTATGGGTATGTTCAAACTTGAATGTTTTACCTCCGATGTTAAATTCGTTCTTTGTGTACCTCTGTATTCCATGTGTTCACGCTCGAATGTTTTACCTCCGATGTTAAATTCGTTCTTTGTGTACCTCTGTATTCCATGTATTCACGCTCGAATGTTTTACCTCCAGTGATAAATCGTTCTTTGTGTACCTCTGTATTCTATGTGTTCACGCACGAATGTTTTACCTCCAGTGATAAATCGTTCTTTGTGTACCTCTGTATTCTGTGTGTTCGCTCTCGAATGTTTTACCTCCGGCGATTATTTTAGTGTGATCGTTTTTTTCTTTCACAGGTATGTGTTTGTGTGTGGAGAATGGCTGGCATTAGATAGGGCGGACGGTAAAGTCTGGAAGCGTATTCCCGCCCAGGACGAGAAAGCCATCAGTAGCCATCTTTTATTCTCAGAGTTGAGTCTACGACAGTTGTTTGACGACAATTTATGGTTTTCTATATCTGCTCGGCCACACTTCAGTAGGTTTAACCGTGTTCAACGACTTTGGACGATTGGTGCATTGCTCTTTCTCTCCATGATTGTATCCGCCATGTTTTACAATACCCCAGCAGGAAAAGAAAACAGCATCACGGTGGGACCTTTCACATTCAGCTACAAACAAGTTTATGTTGGGTTCGCTGCAGCCGTATTGGCAGTTATCCCGACTTTCCTTGTCATTGTTATTTTTCGGAAAAGAAAATTCCGAAATGAGCATCTGTTTGATGACGGCAATAATAGTTTGGGAAAAGGGGATATTAAAGCTCCTCGTCATCTCCCCTGGTGGACAATCTACATTGCCTATGCCCTCGTAGTTGTAGCTATCCTAACCAGCTCAACGTTCACATTTCTGTACTCACTCGACTGGGGTCCTGACATTACACTGCAGTGGTTACTTGCCTTCTTCGTAGGAACATTGCAGAGCGTGGTCGTCGTTGAGCCTCTTAAGGTAATTTATTCGTTATGGTGAATTTGACTTTAAGGTGGTCACGTGGTTAAAATGCATTAGCTCATTATTTGTTGGTTGAAGGCGGGGGGAGGGAGACTATTGGAATACCGATATAGCCATTTAAATGGAAGTGAGCTTATCGTTGCAAGTAATTTCTGAAAATAAAGATTATATATCGTGTATTAAAAGTCTTTTAATAGAGATCGACACTGATCTTACATCAAAACAAAGTGTGTAAAGATTTGTCATAGGACTTGTCGGGTTCGGACAAAAATCACGGCCTTCTCTTGAATATTGCCAGACACTTTCTTGAAAAGCGCAGGTACGGAACATATAGATATAAATGTAAGTAACCTATATTTATTCTTTAAGGTTAGATATTAATTTTCTAATTATTTTCGGAGGTTTCAAATCACTTACCTATTGTTTGTGACACCTTGTTTACAGGCTGTTGTCTTTGCTGCCGTATTTGCTTTCTGCTGTAGCGATGGTGCCAGAAAGATATTAGTGGACCTACCAACGACTCCTGAAGCCAAGTTCGTTGAAGGTATTGTTTTTGTTGATACTATGAAACTTGCTAAAGTACTGTGTTACATTTTATTAGTGTATATGTAATCACTGTACTGTAGACGAGTTAGTCGATTAGACGGGCACCACAATAAAGACAACACACCATCAATTAAGGCAGTCAAGAAAGATATGGTTATCAACCCAAGTCACCTCTGTTTCCTGTTTCATATTAAGTCATATCTTGAGCTTCAATAACAGAATAGAGACACTTCTGTAAAAAGATGGAAGGGCACAATCATCGTACATTAGGTGAAAAATAGTAAAGAAAATAACAATAAGTCAACGAAATTACAATCTAAATCCAAGTTGAATAAAACTAGCACAAAAATCATGGACAAAAGAAATAATTGCACGGGAATTCCTGAAAGTTTACAAGGAGAAAAAGCCCAGGTTTTCCGGAAGAGTAAGCGTATTCTGCTTCAATTTTGTTGTAACTCGATCTACAATGAGGTGAAATTTCCTCGATATGCATCCGTAAAGTGTTTTAATTTCCAATTCATTTATTTAATTCTGATCAAAGATGTGTTCTTCACTTTTACGAACTTTAACAGCAAATTCATTGATGACAACTTTGTACTTGAAGTATACTTTTATGGTCTCATTGCGAAATATTCTATTTCTTTATACCATGTGAAGCCGGGCGTGTTTGATGCTTGATAGATTGCTTGTTGGTTCCGTTGTTGTATACCTTGCTTATTCTCATAAGAGAACGTGACATTGCTTACATAGGTTGACCAAGGTTTAAATGGCAGTTGTCGTCGATGAAACAGAAGACACTTACCATTCCGGAACACCTAGTCTTATTATCCTTGTACATTGTCAGTTAAATTTTTTTTTTTTTTCATAATTTTCCGTAGAGTTTCGATTATGATTATGTTGTTATTTTGTTGATGTTTTTGAGAGAAGTGGTAATGAAAATATTTAGCGGTACTATTCTTCTTCGATTTTGTATTCATGTTCAAGTCTTTCTTTGCTTCTGTTTATTCCTGGTTTGTTGACATATATGTTTCATCCTTTTGTCAGCATACAATATACCTGTGGAGAAACAGTGGTGTCCAACAGACATTCCTAGCCCGGAAGATGTTCAAGAGATTTCAGAGATAGATAAAAATGGATACCAGATGCAATTGAACAGGAAATTGTCTAAAAAACTTTCCTCTTGGTTCATTAGCCTCTGTTACACCGGCCTACTTCTCATCCTGTGTTCTCATAACTTCATCGAAACAGCTTACTACCAAAACTATAATTTGAAATCAGCTTTACAGCCAAAAACAAAGGTTTGTCTTTTGAAATATTGGATATACGTACGTTCATGAAGCACAAACAGTATCTGTAACAATTTTTGTATTAATGTGGACAATACCCTTTTCAAAAGAAAAGAATATATACCTCGGAGACAATACACGCAACCGCAATCAAAATTTTGTAGGAAAAATGAAACTGGTTTGGCCATATTTTAAAATAAACTGAACAAAGCTGGTAAAAAAAACACACCTGTTTATATTTGCAAGAGTCAAACGGCCTTCGTCTATCTATCTACCACATTGATGGACATCAGTTGCTTTTTCGAACTACGCTTAGCTTTGGGGTACGTGGATTTTCCCATCTTTTTTTTTCTCATTTTCTCTCGAGTCTCTTAGCATCAATAATGAATCCAACAAGGACGAAACATTTGTATGATGCAATTTATTATATGTTTATACTGTATCTTGTCCTAAAGCTGCACTGAAATGGTGTTTTTATTTTTTTGCGTTTGTGTCTTTAGCAAAATTCTTCATGCGTACAGAGTGGTGAGACGTTTTGTGGTTTTTTCCCCTCCATCCAGTACGCCTCATACAGTTAGCTTTGAATCTTCTATTTTTAATCTAAGCAATCAAATTGCAGATCGTTAAAATTGAGGATATATGGACTTGGTTCGACAACGTATTTATTGAGAAAGTCTTTCCGAAGTTTTCCTATAATGGACGAATACGACCGTCTTATACACAGAAATTCTTCGATGATGAATACCTATACAGGATGGGTTTGGCTAGAATTCGACAAGTCCGATCTTCTGGTGAGTAAATGCTGCTAATTCTAATGGTTATTGATGCACTGAATTCATATTTACTATCAGCTAGATAACTAGGTAAACAATTTATTTCAGTTTTGCTTTCTATTTTAGAGAAGTGTGAGACAATCAAAGGGTTTGTAGGACATGTGAAATGTTCCGCTGATTACTCGATGAATTCGGAACAAGATGGTGAATTCTGTAGAGGTATTTTTACAATCAGTTGCGATACGTTACTAATAAAGACAATATTTTTATATAAAGGTTGATTTAAAGTCCTTTTAGGGACTCTTGGACTCAAGTTGTTTCTAATATAGATATATAAACAATAATAACTTATAATGTCCATTTCTAACGTCATGAAATCTGTTGCCCAAAAAGGACTTTTCACTTCACTCCAGAACTCATTTTCACAGACTCTACACAGTATGTTATAAACCAATTTGTCCTAGGCTGTAAATATTGGTTCTAGAACAGCTTAGTTTCAGCCAGTAACAAAAGGTTTCTGACGTCTATTGTTTTCTCATATCCTTAGCAATAATCTGTAATATATTAATTTAGGTTGGCAGCCGTACAACGATACCTGTTTCGACGAGAACGAAGACATTGACTATGCATTCAAATACTACACGTCGGAGGATACAGAAGCGGTACTAACCAATGGCGAGCATGCGATATACGGATCAGGAGGCTACTACATTGATATCGGGCCTAAACAATCTGCAGCCTTCCGCTCTATCGCCGACCTTCAGACGAGCAAATGGATTGACAGTGATACAAGGGCAATGTTCGTCACTTTTATGGCGTATAATGCGAACACGAATCTGTTCAGTTATGTTAACGTGATATTCGAGTTACCTGTCATTGGTGGAGTAACATTCACTATGGACACGGTTTCTGCTAATTTGTACCCTTACAACACGCCATGGGATTACATCGTTCTCTTAGCGCAGTTTATCTTCGTCATTGTTGTCATCATCAGACTAGTATTACTCGTCAAAGATGGCGTCATGTCCAAAGGGAAGTTACTTCGCACTCTTCGATTCTACTTTACAGCGTTAGATATATTGATTAGTATAGGCGCAATCGTGTGTTACATCATCAGACTGGACGGAACTGTTACCGCAATTGAAAAGATTGCCAAGAACCCAAGTGAGTAACTTATCATAACTTTTATAGTGATCTGAGTGAGAAAAATTCTGTTTACTCGTGTGATATGTAGCTGTATGTATTTCAAGCTCGTAGTTGGTTCCGTTGTTTTGCATTTGAGAGCGTGAATTCCTAACTTGGTTCGATCAAGATTTACATGGCGGGTGTCGTCAATGAGCCTGAAGACGCTTACTCAATATGTAAGTCTTATTCTCCTTTTACTTTTCCAGGAGTCGATGTGTAAATCTTATGTTCGTTCATCATAGACTTATTTATTTTTTCAGGACAATACGTTTCATTTGAACAAGCTAGTACTATGGATTCCGTCTTCATGGCGTTTATGGGTTTCGCTTCCTTCTGCGCGATCATCAACCTCTTAACACCATTGACCTTCAGCTACCATTTCCACTTGTTTAAGGTATTTCTCGACATATCTAAAAGCACATTGTTCTCCCTGTTTATAGTTCAGGCGATACTGCTCATTGCCTTTGCATCTGTCGTATATATTTTTTTCCACATGGACATATGGGAACTACGGAACATGTACAGCACGCTACTCTTCCTGTACAGGGTGGCTCTGGGCATGTTCAAGATCGCGAACAGCATCAAGTTCATCGATTACGGAAGCATCATTGTGTTCACAATATTCGGGATTTCAATCAGTGTTATTGTGATGAACCTTTGCATAAGTGTATTGAATGAGGGACTTGCACATGCGCAGATCGTCGTAAAGAAGAAGACCAAACATAAATTTGACAAAGAACTGAATGAATTCTTCTTTTGGAAAATGGACAACTTCTTGCGAGCGTTAACGTGTAGTAACAGGAAAAAAGCAACTGTGATGAGCAAATACGCACCACAAGGCAAGCATGTATATTAGAGCAGTTTGTTTTTAGAGATATGCTGTTAGCTCTTATCACACCATCAAATACAATAATTGTTAAAATTTCAAAACACTTCTCTTAACATTTGAAACGTTTAGGACTTTAGAAAGTCAATCGAGGAGTGCATTTCCGTCACAATCTTTAATAACTAAAATCCTTTGATAAAATGTAACCTGACTTAGTCGAAGGTCTATAGCATTTGATAAAGAAAAAGAATGTATTTTTTTAAATTCAATTAACTATTATTTTGCTATTTTTTTATATTCACAGCAACAGAAACTTCAAATAGACTTCAACAAATACAGACAGTATGTTTTGATTTGATTTTTTTATATCAAAGAATTACAATTTGAGAATCAAACTTTTGCCAAACTAACAAACATATAACGATTAGAAAGCTTACTAAATAAGAAAATACAGAAATGAGAGTTTTGAATATTTCAAGATTTGCAGAACAAATGTATTGCTTCGCTGATGCCACGTAAATTTGTTCAATCTTCAGTTTGAATTTACACTGTATTATATTTTATCATAATCTCAAATTACACATATTAGTCTGGGAAAACAGTTATAGCATCCTCGTGATGAACTTGGGAAAGATTGTTTTGTGTTTTATAGATGAAAGGCTTCGAGAACTTTGTTTTTAATATGGCAAGAGAGGCCGCCTCCAACGAGCAGCAAATCTTTAAAAGGTGTCTACACTGGCAACACAAAACGCCACATAGAAATCAGCTACGTTCCATATGTACTGAAAATACCAACGAAACGAACATCAAGTAAGTTCTAAAAAAGAAAACCAAATTTCGAAAATTTCCAAACTACTGATCTTTTAACAAAAAGTACCACCTAAGTGTAATAGTACTTACCATTCGCACGTTGTCATAATGTCATCATTTGAAACACAAAACTGGAGATTTCGGTAAAAAGTAGCTTGCCAGAGCTTACTCACGGAAAAATGAAATACAACAACTGGACCAACTGGACCGAAAATTGATACAACTCACAAATCTTTTTTGTTTTTATTTTGTTTTTTGTTTTGTTTCTTTTTTTTATTATTATTTTTATTTTTATTTATTTTTTTTACGAATGTGTGGCTTGTGAAGTCATACTTTGTCAGTTTACCAAGTATCTAGATCTACACAATGTAGTTAAAACAGGCGTATAAAAAAGAATGTCAATCATTTTAAAGGTATTACGACCACGCCTCAAACTTCACGATGGCCTTCGTGTTCCCAATGGCTGTCAGTGACGAAGACGTCATTGTACGCACCATTCCTGTAGTAAAGGCCAAAATTCGACACCTGTATCCGTGTGACCATTCATCTGTGCCTCTTAGTAAGATGTTTAAAGTGAAAGCCAAAGCATCGCTACGTAAGAAGGTATGTTACTGCTATTCATTTGTGTGTCTTTTGTACAATCTGTAGATCTGTCCTTGATCTTTGGTTGAGGTCGATCTCTGTGATGAACTGTTCATTGTCAATGTTCTAATTTGAGCGCTATATATTACACATAGTTAATTATAATGACAAGAAAATTTCTCGAAGGTTTTCATATCAAACAGTCATTTTTGTGTTTGAATATCTTTCGTTATACCGCGAGGGAGTTAACTCTGTCCCCGATTGAAGATAAACTAAATATTTAAAACTTTACTCATACTGCTCGAAGATTGTTGACACCTACCATGAGGTGACAGTAAGGATTAGTGAATATAATGTGACCGGCCGGTGTGGCGTGTTACCGTGTCCAGGTATTTCAGTGTGATGGCACTTTTGGAGCGTCCCTGTAGTCAGTATAATGTGACCAAGTGGGGTGTGGTGTCATTCTACCGTTTCCAGATTATGGCATTTCAGTGTTATGGCACTGTTAAAGTGTCCCTGTAGTCAGTATGAGGTAACCGAGTAGGATAGTTTTATGAAATTGCAGTGTGATGACACTATAAAAGTGTCCATGTAGTTTGTAAACTGTGACGGAGTAGAGTGTCATACTATCGTGTCCTAGTGGTGAGATTTCAGTATGATAACACTATAAAAGCGTGCTTGTGTAAACCAAATACCCTTGGTTACCACCTACATATCACAAATAACGATCAAAATAAGATTCAATGAAACCATAAACAAACCGAAACAAAAAATATTTACTTTCAGCGATTGTCCATCATATTAGCTTGATATCAATAAGATCTCGGTTGGGTTTAATATTAGTCAGGTTCTGCCAATATATACCAGAGTTACATGACCTTAAAAACGTTGAAATAGACCACTTATTTGTTTCCGTTCAATACTTACTTCAGTTACTTTAATAATGAAAATGTTACCGAGAAACGTGGTAAACAATAGTTCCACTTCGTTTAGCGGTCCTAAATACATACTTTCGTTACATTTTTCTTCTTCCGGTTTGTAGAGTATGTCCCATAGTCTCCATACCAAAAAGTATTTCATGACCTTTTTAAAATGTCTCTTTTATCAAGCATGTGCATTCCTACTGACTTTTCACTTTGTAGGTTATCTGTTCATCCATACTTTGATATTGCAGATTTGTCCTTCAATTGAATGTCCTAGCCTTGAAAACTTTTCCCGGGGCCTAATGTGTTTCAAACATATCTTTTGGATTAAGGAACTGTTCTAAGATGAAGAAGAGGGTTTTGACACATTAGAATACTAGAAAACTCAAGTCAGAGAATTGGTGATGATGAAATGTTTGTAACAGGTCATTAATAGGACGCGTCCGAAGAACCCAAGTTCATTCGGATTCAGTTTCCGTGTTAGAATTATCATCTCTCACCACATTATACTTTTCGAAAGCTTGGATTGATGGATTCGCCCATGACAATATCCTGTCCGAGCTATGTTAACTGTTAAATGAGAAAAAGAATAACAAAACGATGTCATTAACAGAAGTTAATTTTACAACCTCTATTGTAGAGCTCAGTGCAAGTTTTTATCGTGGATAACAAGCCGAAGATTGATAAAGAGTTACCGTCCTTCGTTGTGTTATCACACGACAACGGAAAAACGTGGGAGACCATTGCGGTCAGCCCAGATTCACGGGTTATGGTACAGGTAAACGGTGGAAACTTTCCATTTTTTCTCTTCATTAATGGAAATTTTTTCTCTTCATTAATGGAAATGGAAATAGAACAAATACAGGTGAAAGTACTGCTATATCCTGATAACTTATATTTGTGTCAGTGCTGTAATGTCCTGATAACTTATATTTGTGTCAGTGCTGTAATGTCCTGGTAACTTATATTTGTGTTAATGCTGTAATGTCCTGATAACTTATACTTGTGTCAGTGCTGTAATGTCTTGATAACTTATATTTGTGTCAGTGCTGTAATGTCCTGGTAACTTATATTTGTGTCAGTGCTGTAATGTCCTGATAACTTATATTTGTGTCAGTGCTGTAATGTAATATTTGTGTTATATTTGATAACTTATATTTTGTGTCAGTGCTGTAACACAAAACCTGGTAACTGCTGTAACTGATATATTTTTGTGTCAGTGCTGTAATGTCATCATAACTTATATTTGTGTCAGTGCTGTAATGTCCTGGTAACTTATATTTGTGTCAGTGCTGTAATGTCCTGGTAACTTATATTTGTGTCAGTACTGTAATAACTTATATTTGTGTTAATGCTGTAATGTCCTGATAATTTATATTTGTGTCAGTGCTGTAATGTCCTGATAACTTAACTTATATTTGTGTCAGTGCTGTAATGTCCTGGTAACTTATATTTGTGTCAGTGCTGTAATGTCCTGATAACTTATATTTGTGTCAGTGCTGTAATGTCCTGGTAACTTATATTTGTGTCAGTGCTGTAATGTCCTGATAACTTATATTTGTGTCAGTGCTGTAATGTCCTGATAATTTATATTTGTGTCAGTGCTGTAATGTCCTGGTAACTTATATTTGTGTCAGTGCTGTAATGTCCTGGTAACTTATATTTGTGTCAGTACTGTAATGTCCTGGTAACTTATATTTGTGTTAATGCTGTAATGTCCTGATAATTTATATTTGTGTCAGTGCTGTAATGTCCTGGTAACTTATATTTGTGTCAGTGCTGTAATGTCCTGATAACTTATATTTGTGTCAGTGCTGTAATGTCCTGATAACTTATATTTGTGTCAGTGCTGTAATGTCCTGGTAACTTATATTTGTGTCAGTGCTGTAATGTCCTGATAATTTATATTTGTGTCAGTGCTGTAATGTCCTGATAACTTATATTTGTGTCAGTGCTGTAATGTCATCATAACTTATATTTGTGTCAGTGCTGTAATGTCCTGATAACTTATATTTGTGTCAGTGCTGTAATGTCCTGATAACTTATATTTGTGTCAGTGCTGTAATGTCCTGATAACTTATATTTGTGTCAGTGCTGTAATGTCCTGATAACTTATATTTGTGTCAGTGCTTTAATGGCTCCCTTGATTGTAACGCATAAACACAGATACATCGGGAAACTTACGTATTCTATGTAATATTATGTCGAAACACCAGATTAAAAAAATTGATGTCATCCAAACGTAGGACATCCTATTGGAAATATTAAAGACTCATTTTCTTTATGGTAATTTTGGTTTTAGAAGGCACCATGTGTGTCTGCGATCGTCCGTGCATGTCCGACGCACATCATGGCCATCTCGTGCGAATTATGGCCGGATGTTCCCGACTTTATGATGAACCGTCTAGAGATACACACGGTGTCCCCTAGAGGAGGTTTGATCCGGTTCCGGTGTAACAACAGGATCCTTATCAAAGCAGACAAAAATTCTGTCGACCGAGATGTAGACATCTGCGTCATGGTAAACCATTATAAAGTTAGACCAATATATGTGCAAGGCACTCGTTTTTGAGGGTTTGAGAAAATTCCACATCATGATTTTGTACTCATTATTCAGAACACTGATATATCATCTATTTTTTTTTTTTTTTTTATCATAACAAACACTCTTTCTAAATGAAGTAGCCTGAAGTGTTTTGTATTGGTATGGACTCAAAGTGTCTCTCTTTTAGACTTCCGGTATTTTCCGATGTTGTTCCTTCGTGTGAAATTCTCTCTGTTGTTATCGTTTACTTGATATTGACAGGAACAGGAGTCCAGACCTACGCCAATGGTTACTTTAACGGCGACAGAAGACATTACACGGCCACTTACACTATATATACCGTTCAACATGCTGGATAGAGGAGGTAATGTGTCACGAAAAAATCATTTATTTCATAATGTAAAACAACTTAGGTAGCTAAAGATGTCGTCTTTTTGCTCAACAGGTAAAATTGTACCTGCCATCTTTTTGTATCGTCCATTAGTTGCAGTATGGGTGGTGCGTGGTTCAACCGTGTCCTAGTCACGACAATTCAGTGTGACGACACTATAATGACGTCCATGTATTCAGTATAATGTAACCGGGAGGGTGTCGAGCTACCATGTCCATGCCGTGACATTCCAATGTGATGACACTATAAAAAGTGTCACTTAAGTCAGTATAGTTTGACGGAAGGATGATTTTACATGTTATTCTTAATACGCAATGTCTGTTACGGAGTTATTTTCGTAACTGATTTCTCAATGAAGTCAAGGCAAGAATGTTATACATGTTACAACAATCTTTTGTGATCGAGCATTATATACTTGACACAATAATGCGTGTATTTTGGTAGCAGAACCCCGTATAACTTAACAATATTTTAATAGATAGAATTTGTTTGTTACAGAGAGCGCAAAGAGCCTGATCATATTAGTCAAAGATGGAGATCTCAAGTGGCAGAAGGCACCTTGTGGAGCGAACAAAGTACACGGCTGTATCGTGTTTGTAATAAACAGTCTAAATAGACGGTGAGGCTTCCGCTGTGATGAACAGTGACGTTCGAATTATCACATTATCTATAAATATATGTCATCTGCTCGACCACTGTGATTTTTCACAGGTAGTCCGGTTTCCGGGCACGCCTACATCCGGGCCACACAAAAGTGCCTATTCTCCGCTGGAATAACTTGTTTCAATTGATGAAAAATGAAAATATTTTATGTTTGTCTGTATGGTGACCTGTTATAATGTGTCTGAGAAAAAAATAGTCAAATAACTTTGACCAAAGGTTTATGCAAAAGTCACACACAAGAGATTAGAACCCTTCAAATAAATAGTTCGAATAAGATACATTCAAACTAACTAATTAAACTGCATCATATACTAGTAGCTGTTCCGTCCTTCTATACTTTGTCAGTGAATTCATTGCCCTGAAATATATACTTGGGGAAAATCAAACTTGGTTGACAGACATGAGTTTTTTCTTTAATTTTTTTTTCTGCTAGTATTTGGTGCTGTTTTAAAAAGACATCACATCACACTAACCACGAAACACCCCTCAGTCATTTAAAATTTAATCCTGTATTGTTATTTCAGGGTTGCAAAGAAAATATTAGTGAAGAAAAACGAAATAGAACAGGTAAGATTCCTGACCTAATTTTATCGTTGTTTTATTGATTAACGTTCTCTGCTCTGTAACGAAAACACATATGATTTATTGTAAAAAGAATCTCACAGGTATAACATGGTGCAGCAATAACTTTGTCGGTCTGGGCTCACATAACGTTAAGTGATGATCTGAGGTGTGTAGTTTGACGCTTACTACCCATGACGGAACATACTGTGCTGGCGTGTCCTTGAGGTAGCAGAAAACGGTTAAATTTCATTTTTCCTGAAATTATTAGTCATGTTTGAGATATACAGGCATAGCGGATTGGTTATGAAGAATGCACCCTTATATATAAACTACTTAACAATTCCATTAATAGTAGAAAGATGAAAATTGTGTAAATCAAAAATTTCCTCTGATTTTTTACATATGATTGCCATGGTTACATACTCAAAAAATGCTAAAAAGGTAAAAAAAAACACTACTGATTCCAATCGAAAACTACAACTTTATGGAAGGAATTGATTTCTGAACACCTGTCTTAAAATCAACGACACTGTCAAGATAACAAATTGCTTAGTTTCAGCAAATTACACATTTTTAATGAACGAAAAGTTAACTTATCACCGTTACCTCATACACAGCGTTGTATAATCCGGACTATTTTGTAGTTTCACAAATTATTTTCTATGTTTTGTTTTAACAGAACTTGACTGCTGCTGCAATACCTGACCGTACGTATCATTTTTGTCACTACTTCATTGTAAATGTTAAGGATTCTCAAGTCTACCATTCACAACATTAACTATCGAGTGTTAATTAAATACAGTGTATAAACACTAGTATATCATTAATGCTACTCTCTTCTGAAAAAAAACAATCAATTTACAATACGTTAATTCTCTAACAGTAGTGTTAATTATGAATTTTATATTTTAAAAGCAACTGAAAATGAGATGATGCTATGTATGATCGATTTTATTGATAAATTGATAATAAAACTGATTGTGTTGCTATGACAACTTTGATGTAAATACAGTAAATGGCTGTATATTATCAGCCCGCTTCAGTTGTATATCAAAGTGTTGACATTGTCACACAGAAACTGTAATGTTTACATAGGTATATGTCTTGTTTCAGCTTATCTGAGGACGGCAATAAGAGCAGTTTGTAGCAGCAAAATCTCCCGTAGATGGCGCTATCTAGGAAAATCCCTTGGACTGCCACTTATCTACCTAGATTGCGTCGACAATAGAAATTCTCCCCTCTGTGTAGAGGAAAAGTGCAGTTTCATTCTACATGAATGGACCGTCCGAAATCCCAGTGCAACTGTTGAAGATTTGGACAAATGTTTATATAAACTCGGTTTTCCACAGGTTAACAAGCTCGCCAATTTCATTTAAAACAATCTTAATGATTATTAAGATAACACGGATGCTGTTACCGTAATGCTTTTTCGGTAGTCGTAATTTAGCGTTCTTCGCGTATTGTGCTATTTGTAAGCTAAGTACATGGTTTACATAGAGTAATTATTGATGTGAGAATTCATCATTGCGCTAATTTGCCGGAATGCGATGTTGCGCTGAATTGAAAATGGTGACAATACTAGTATGTGCTATGTCGGAAAAGTTATGTTTGTATATAAACCAAATCAGAGAACCCAATACATTGACTCTGGTACTGTGGGTGTATTACATATGAGTTTAGTAAAGCGGAATTCTTCGCGCTTTGTGTTGAACACAAGACCAATGAAATCGAGTTGGTGTTAGGGTGTTCCGGGAATATTGGATGTTGGACTGCCAAGAAAGCAACACTGATTTCATGACAGCATAGACATATTATTTGTTGAAGTTTGTGTTTATACTTAAAATGGTTTTGATGAAACTCATAAAAAATTGTTCATCTTGACTGGCCGAGGCTCGGTAAAATGAAAATGTTCTCCTCGTTTCTTTAATCTTGCATAATATCCAACCTCGTGTAAAATAAGCCTAGTACAGATCTATCATTAAAAGTACTCCGGATGTATATACATTTCTTTGTGGATGCCATCCGCCTCTAAAGGCCAATGTCAGTTAAGTATGTATATTTTCACCGTGATAAAGAACGAATGAGCCGGTCTAAGTTATATCTCTGTTCCTAACAGATTGCTTATCTTTTTACTTTCTTTGAGAACATGTCATTTCCTTTGTAAGATCCTTCACGAGGTTGATGACATCATTGCATACGTTTTTAAAGCGTCTGATTGGTACATATGACATTGAAAATCATTTTTTGTATCGCTAGTTTTCTTTAATTTTCAAATTTTGTATATCGGTTTTCTTCATAATGGGCCCCTCATTTATATGCTTACAAATACAAGATTGCACTTTTTATATAAACTGCTAATTTCTCTAATTTCATATACAGTCATAAAGATACAATGTGGTTCTTTTTTAATCAGATATGAAAATACAAGTAATTATTTCAGAGAGAGAAGATTTTGTTTGAGAACCTATCGATGGTGAGAACATTAAAAACTTATATTTTGGATTTGTCACTGGTTATTTTACTTCTAAACAATCACTTCAGTGACATCGTTGTGTCATTTTTAGTGTCATATTTTAAAATACCCGATAGCCTACATATTGGTTCGTTCTGATTTTCAATCCCAAGTGAAACTTTGGTATTGGGTATTTCTTCGTGAACGAAACCATCCGGTGAGGTAAGAACCAGTACAGGAAAACCTGGCGGTTCCCGTCTCTCCTGTCCAGGATGATCCAGTGAAGATATTGCCTCTAACACACCCTTTCCTGTGTTCTCATCCGTGATATGAGTCATTCCAATGATATTTCCTGACGAGTGGTCAGTTTTCAATGCCATGTCTTCATCAACAGGAAATTCTTCTTTCTCTGTAGTATCTTTAGTATGGATATGGGCATCTTTTTGAGGTCTAGGAAAACAACACCGTAGCAACCATTTCCAGTCCATAGCAACGTACTTATATAAATACCAGGAGAGCCTAGTAGTGTTTCTTGTTAAACGTCAGGGTGACTGACCAATTTACTCCATTTTATTTGTGGCAGAAAGTTTGTTTGATAAAACTTCGATAGACCTGCAAAATAAAATAACAATTTGTAGTAAACAACAAGTAAATCTACAACGCGAATACTTACAGGATATTGCCAAAACAGCCGCAAATGATGAACCTGCTAGAAATACTACCAATCTTGACCAAGATGTGAAGGTTTGTCAGGAGTGATATTAACCGAGATATTGGGAATACTGACAACATTTAAGATATAGGGTTGGTGGGTGGGAGGGGGCTGGGGCTTGATCCAGATCATATCACCTGGGAAATGATCTTTCCCCTTCACGATGTCCGCCCTTCAGCCACAAGAATTCTGACAAGGGGATGTGAGCTTATAAATTATTAACTCTGCTCCTATCCTTGATATCGGCTATCTAAAATTCGTACGTGTTCAAAGATCTCCATAGTTATCTACAATTTGGCTTAAACTTCAGAAATGAAGTTGCCTGAGTGCGTACATGAATAGTTACAAAGACTTTAATGACCTAGCCCTACATGTGGCTAATTTGAATTTAAAGTAAATCTCACATTCATGCACCAAAAGTGGAAATTAAAGCGAATGGAGAAAGACATAAAGAGGTTGCTCCACAATAACTGAACTCTTAAATCCTGTTAATCAAAGAGGAGCATACAATACTAGAGGGATCCAGTCTCACAGCGGGAAAACAGGATCCAGAATCAAAGACGAGCATACAATACTAGAAGGTTCAAGTCTGACATCTGGAACACATCATCCAGAATCAAAGACGAGCATACAATACTAGAAGGTTCAAGTCTGACATCTGGAACATATCATCCAGAATTAAATAGGAGCATACAATACAAGACCCGCTTGTATACAAGAAACATAATCATCCTGGGTGTGCCATATCGCATGGTTTTGGGTTCTGTGTATATTTCTGATCCGTCGATAAAAATTCGGAATCGAAATTTGCACCATCGCTTTCTTGTTTTTAATCAACCTTCCAAACAAAACAAAATTATCGCCAAATCGAATTCCTATGCCTTTTTAAAATGATATATGATATGTGAAATGTTTTGCGAACATTATCTTTCCTGTATTGAAAATTCCATATACTGCACTCGGCATGTGAAACATTATATTGATGAAATATATCACAAAAGTGGTCACAAACGGATTTAAAATCCAGAAATCCAATCGACGGCATCAAACTAATATGAAAGTATAACAGCAATAACAACTCTATCTGATTATCGCTGGGCACTATATTAGCACCATTTTGTGGAGATGACGTCATGGACATACGTTTACCGATACCTTAATTGTCATGGAATAATATGAACAGCAGGTGCAGATAACCTGATTAAGGACTCAGGAGAGTAGGCCACCAACATGTAAACAAATGGTAAGAAAAGGAAAGAAGAACCGTCAAATAGAAGAGCATACCGTCACCGTCAAATAGCATAGCAAGCCGTCAAATAGAAGACCAAACCGTCAAATAGCATAGCAAGCCGTCAAATAGAAGACCAAACCGTCAAATAGCATAGCAAGCCGTCAAATAGAAGACCAAACCGTCAAATAGCATAGCAAGTCAAATAGCATAGCAAGCCGTCAAATAGCATAGCAAGCCGTCAAATAGAAGACCAAACCGTCAAATAGAAGACCAAATCGTCAAATAGAATACCAAACCGTCAAATAGCATAGTAAGCCGTCAGATAGAAGACCAAACCGTCAAATAGCATAGCAAGCCGTCAAATAGAAGACCAAACCGTCAAATAGCATAGCAAGCCGTCAAATAGAAGACCAAACCGTCAAATAGAAGAGCATACCGTCAGATAGAAGACCAAACCGTCAAATAGCATAGCAAGCCGTCAAATAGAAGACCAAACCGTCAAATAGCATAGCAAGCCGTCAAATAGAAGACCAAACCGTCAAATAGAATAGCAAGCCGTCAAATAGAAGACCAAACCGTCAAATAGCATAGCAAGCCGTCAAATAGAAGACCAAACCGTCAAATAGAAGACCAAACCGTCAAATAGCATAGCAAGCCGTCAAATAGAAGACCAAACCGTCAAATAGCATAGCAAGCCGTCAAATAGAAGACCAAACCGTCAAATAGAAGACCAAACCGTCAAATAGCATAGCAAGCCGTCAAATAGAAGACCAAACCGTCAAATAGAAGACCAAATCGTCAAATAGAATACCAAACCGTCAAATAGCATAGCAAGCCGTCAAATAGAAGACCAAACCGTCAAATAGCATAGCAAGCCGTCAAATAGAAGACCAAACCGTCAAATAGCATAGCAAGCCGTCAAATAGAAGACCAAACCGTCAAATAGAAGACCAAACCGTCAAATAGCATAGCAAGCCGTCAAATAGAAGACCAAACCGTCAGATAGAAGAGCAAACTCCGTCAGTGTCCAGGAGATAACGCAGACATGAAATCTCACAGGACGCTCTATCCTTGTCCATCTTACGAATAAAACATCAAAGCAGGACGAAGTGGAACACGTAAAAGACACAGATGCATAAAGAGAATGATAGCACATCAGGGATGACGAAAGATGTTTGAATTGGTGAATACCACAAAAACAACACATGAAAACAGGAACAGTCCGAATCCCTGTCAAAAAATTGACTATCTGAAGATCATGTAAGCAAAACAACAGGCCCAAGGGGCCTGAATAGCTCAACTAGCAAATTTAGCTATTCAGCCAATTTCAAATATGACAAACAATTTCTGATATTTCACCATTGGGTCCTGTCATTTTGGTCAAACAGGGGTTAGATTCACTATTCATGACAAAACTAAGGACAAAATTTGGGCGATATATAATAATTCCTAATGAAGAAGTAGGATTTTAAGGAATTTGCTCTATTTCCGCAATTGGGCCCATCCCCTTCCCCTCACTCATTTGACGGGTCGGTGTGGCTTGTACAAAATGTTAAATAGGTATATGTTACTCAGTTGACAGCTCAACTGAAAGAGTATGTTTCTCTAGCCATCAAGTCGGAGTCTAGGGTTCGACTCCTGTCGTATTTTTTTCTGTTCTGTTGCACCAACATGTCTACTTTGAAAAAGATAAAGTTATTACAGTGAGTAAAATAATCATATAACACATGAATATTAACTATTGAAACACAAATAGGCTTACCTCAACAATTCTGATACACAACTCCCATTGTGTACACTTAGAGACGCCAGCATACCAACAAGATTTGCGTAATGTGAGGTCACAGGCTCTATTTGTTGGTGACGTCATCTTTGCGGAGAAAAGGACCTTGACCTTTGACATCGACAATGATAACAATGATTGTAACATCCTATTGTGTCACTCATTATGACGTCATTTGGCAATACCCGGTTACTGAACGACAATTTGCTGTGTACAGAGATGTAAGGACTGATTTTAGAGAGCCGAGGACGCACTTGAGATGGCTGCGGACTCGCGGCTACAGAAGATGTTGATGTCGGGAGAATACTCCGAGCTAGAGGACAAGGTTCTTGTAGAGGGGGCTTTTATTGAACTAGACAAACGTGGTGACGCTATCAGGTAAGTTAGGACGTGAACGAAACAAGAACGTTCAAGTCAGTCAAGTGGCTGTCATCGCATTAGCACTGTCGCATACATCACTTCGAGCATCCGAACGAACGTAGAGCAGGTATACAAAGGTCATAACCCTTACGTATTCGATGCGCCTGTCTCAGGGTCTCTACGTCTATTAACTACATTATTTGGTGATTTTGTTAATGTATGGGATGCGGTGATGATTGGGTTGTATTGCGTATCGTGTTCCGGTTATCAACAGTTTACTTTTTTCTGATTGTCAAAATACTAGTGTAACCCTGGTAAAATACTAGCCGCAACATACTTCTCTTTCGCTCGACCGGTTGACCGTCAGACTAGTACGCAAGAGGGTACTGGGTTCGATTCCTAGTGGAGGCATTGAAATGAATAATAACCTCTGCTACATTGGCGCCCATGTAGGGATACAGTATAGACATAAACTAATAAACAAAACTTTACAATTACAAAAGACAATACAAGTTCTGGTTTTTAACGTATCGTGTTCCGGTTTTTAGCGTTATATGTTCTGGTTGTCAACATATCATGTTTCACTTGTCAACATATCTTGTTCCGGTTGTCAACATATCATGTTCCGGTTGTCAACATATCTTGTTCCGGTTGTCAACATATCATGTTCCGGTTGTCAACGTATCATGTTCCGGTTGTCAACATATCATGTTCCGGTTGTCAACATATCGGGTTCCTGTTATGAGTATCTAGAATCGTGCATAGTGTGTGGAACTGTGACCGATTGGCCAAAAAAAACTGCGTTTAATAGTAAGAGGACGAGATGTTCTCTAATTGTCTGTAGCTTAAAGTTAGTTTTGGATATTTGTGTTCAATGCAAGACATTTCCTGTATAGTGAATGTTTCCGTCTCTAGGCAGGTCCTACTGGGGCTAACCAGGGATAGCTTTATCGTCGCAAAGGATGTGATCAAAGATTACCGGAAAATCCCGTCTGTAAAGTATGACGCGGACGTCGATCTAGATATCAATGATTTGGAAATGGAATGGATCATCCCCGTCTGCTTTTTAGAAATCACTCGAATTCCGCACAAACGTATGTTGAACATTCTGTCTCGTAATGGACGTCATCGTTATTACATGATGACGAATATCGGCGGGAACGCTAAGAAGAAATGGAGCGCGTGGATGGAACGTGTTAAGTATATTCATGACGATCCGTATGGTTATATCAAACAACTTTACAATCAGTGGAATGACAACTTCGAAATTTTCGATTTGGAGGACAGAAATGGGAAAAACAGCACTGCCACCGTATTACCAGATATTATTGATGAAAATATGGCGTTAGCAAGCTACAAAATGAGAAGCACGCGCGCTAAAAGTATCGTGCCAGAAAACTGGCATGACATTTTGGGAATAAAAACCAGTAGTCTTGACACAGAACAAGTGACTGGAGGCAAAATAGATATAGATGCAACAAAAGCCAAATATAGCACTGATACGAATCAAAAATCAAAAAAGTGGAAGAAAAAACTTCGGTTTAACCTTTCTACCAATAAATCTTATACTTGCAGCTGTTTTAGATAAATGCTTCACGACCTTTTTTATTCAATCATTCTCTCAATTTAACAAAAATGTATAACTACTGTTACCCTTCGACGGCTGCAAAAAGTATAGCTATAATATCATATAAACTGGTGAATAAATATATATATATTTCGAAATTGTCATTTAATCTGTTTTCTTTTGGTTCCAATGTACAAATACATAATCATAGACATTCCTTAATTTATATAAAATTTATTTTTGGTAATAATTCGTTTCCAAATACACTCCATTCTTTCTATTCCAAGACAGAACGTATTGTAACTGGTCAGTTTGCGACATATGTTTTATCACTGATCCTATACTGAGCCTGAAAGTTTCATGAAGATAATTTGTATTTTCTTGTACTTTTACTTTGTGAAGTAAAAATCAAATCTATTTTGAATTTAAATTTTTATTGTTAGTAAGTTAAAGAAAATGAAGTAAGAGTCATTTACAAACTTAGGAATTCCTTGTATTTCGGAAATAAGACTCTACAATGGCTAAGGAATTTATCATCTATTTTCTTGTAATCTTGTTATTGAACATGTAGCCGTACTATCCATTCTGTCAGATTATACTGACGCTGTAAATTCCTTTCTAGCTAAGATCAGAGAGTACGGAACAAAGAATAGTCAGGTAACTTTTGTAAGCCAATCTAGACTTTAGATTAGTTAATTGCTTATTAAGTACATGTAGGTATCCTGTGTACATGTCATGTCACCTTATACAGAGAAGCCGCCAGTGTAATTAGCCTCAGTATTTGGACAGGCCAGTAAACAGATTGGCACTCCATGATAAAACACCTGGCCAGCTGCAATTTACTACAATAGGTATGACATAAGTGTTACCTAAGGATTATCTCTACCCACGCGGTGGTCTACGCATGTCCGTATTAGGTACAGCAGACTTCTCATTAGCATAATAGAAGAAAAGTTTGTAAAATCTTAGAACTGACCAATCAGATCTTAGGAAATATTTCTCACCTTCGAAGACGGCGTGTTTAGGTGGGTACCAAGCCGAAATCTGGCACTTTAGGTTGGAACTCAATAAACAACAACATCGAAGCTTAACACCGGTCTTCGTTATCTTACAGGTGAGATCATTAACTTTATTTCTATTTTATTTTAACGTAAATTTATAGTCTTGTATTTTTGTTCAATTATTTGTATCGTTTAAATATTGCTTTGTTTATTATGTACGTGTGATTCAGTTGTTATAATGTGTAATATGTGCCAGATATGTGTATTGCATTTAAAGTGTTAGGTCTAAACTCTTTTGATATTTTTTTTGTAAGTATTGATGTGTAAGAGTATTTGATCTTTATCATATTTGTCAGACATGTATCTTGTTTTGCGATAACAAGTAGAAAATCCTCTTCTAAATAAGGTTGAATTAATATATAAGTTATTTTATCCAATTGTAAAAATTACTAAATAGACCTAAACTAGTAAGGCTATAGAGTATTGATCTGGTAGGAATTATCTCCCCTTATTTGCAATTCGAGTTACCTCTCCTTTCTAAGTTGTGGTATTTCCGTAAACAAGTTCTTAAGCCATGTGTTTTGCTGTCTCGAATGATCATCAAGTTTGGCAATATTTTTGGATGTCGGGCATCTGATCCTGTGCAGTAATAAAGGTAATTGTTCAGTAGACATTACATGTAAGGGATGGTTAGGAAATGTTAATTCAGAATCGGTTTGGTTAAATTATACTTTCGCTGATCTCGTAAGTTCGGTCGGGTTCATCTTATATGTAATTATAGCTATAACTTGAGTCTGTGATTGTGTTTCCTGATATCATTCTTGAATGATTAGTATTTTTGTTATTGATTATATTTCTTCACAATTAATATTACACAGGTTAATTTAGATCTGATCATCTATAACTTTCAAATTATACAATATCAAAGCAGACCACTGCTCTGATCACTATTGTCATATATGTTCATATCTAAAATAGACATTGTGAATTTAAACCGGAAGTTGACATTTTTAATTTAAACCTGAAGTTGTGAACCGGATGTGATTTCAAAGTTATTTATAGCTGTAGGAAATGTAAACTTACAGTGTATTTATTTAAACTGTCTCTAACTTTAGATATTAATTAATATTAGGAATAATATTATAGGTTTTCATATTTTATTTTTGTTTATTATTTAAATGGTTTATTCTAAATATTTGTATCATTTGGAACTTAGAAACACACAGTATTTGTTTTTATATGAATGTCTTCATCCTACACTCCACATGCCAAGTGATATTGTATTCTATACCTCAATTATCCATGTCATAGGTAAAACATGTGTATGTACATGTAGTGAATTATACTTTTAGTTCTTTATGCAATTCTTATATACTATGTAAGAAACACTGTATAATCCATCTTTGTATATTTTGTGACTTGATATTGTTGACTTTCGGTTGGAACTCAATAAACAATGACATCGAAGCTTAACACCGGTCTTCGTTATCTTACAGAGAAAAACAATAAAACAACTCGAAAACTTGGTGAAGAATTCCAAAATCCTTGGATGAAGACATCAAAATCATCAAAAGGTAATAACAGACCACGAAATTACCAATTTACCAGGATCTCAACAAATCAACACCCGTACTTTCTTCGACGAAACACAAATACAGCCGAAATGTTAACATCTACATCACAGACTATTTCAACAACAGCAACAACATCCTCAGCATCACCATCCTCACCATCCACAGCAGCAGCAACAATGACAACATCCTCATCCTCATCATCAAGTCCAATTTCAAGTTTACCACTACCACCACCACCACCACCACCACCACCACATGTACACCAGCCACCTATTGCTCAGATGGCCCCAGTCATGATGACAGCACTAAATATCAACCTGGCAAGATTCAGCAGAAGTGATCCCCATCTGTGGTGGTCATCGATGGAGAATTGGCGGCAGCTATACCGTCTGTCAGAAATAGAAACCCTGGCCTCCTTCGGTTGCCACTTTGAAGGGGCAGCTTTGGTGTGGCTCAACAGCCTGTCAGCCAATGAGAAGGCATCTCTATCCTCCTTCAAGGATGCTTTTAATAAAAGATTTCTATCAAAGGCCACAGACATAAAATTCATAACCATCAAACAGGACACTCATGAAGATCCAGATAACTACCTGTCTCAGGCAGAAAAAGAAAGCCTGAGACAGCAACTGTCAGAAGATGTGAAGGTGATGATCTCCAGCCACAGCTCTTTCGTTTTAACTGCATGTGAAGACTAGAGAACCTGTACTACCTGGTTGGATTGTTATTTTAAGCATATATAAGCACCTGAAGTGTTATATATGTCTTAATTTTTGGTGCCGTGACCAGGATTTTCAAAAGAACACTAACATTACACCAGGGAAGTGGTATGAGCAATCACATAATAAGAGATTTCAATCGACTCTATATCAAAGAGGCCAGAAGAAACTTCCCAGAACACTGGAAAGGGAAACCTGTTGCTGTTGTAAGACCACTTTCCTACAGCATCGAACTGGAAGAAAAAGCAAAGGAACAGGAATCTCAAAGAGCAAGAGGACGACCAAGGGGAACTCAAACCGCAACGAATTAGACTATTCACGGAGAAGGAAGGAAAGTCAAATCTACGTCGACGGAGTAATCGCTACGCTCTGCTTGTAACAGAGGACCCGTAGACTCCATAACTAGGTAAGTGGCTCTAAGTCTTGATATTTACGATACCTAATAATCATGGCCGATGTAGAAGCTATGGGTAATGTTATTCAAGGGTTGGCAGTACAGATGAACAATGTAAGTACAGCTATCGCAGTACAAAGCGTGGCACAATTAGTAACTCCATTCGATGGAGATCCCAAGAAATTCAAAACGTGGATAAAAGACATAGAACGTTATTCCGCTTTAACCGAGACCCCGACGGGTAGAGTTAAATTCGTAGCTTTCCAGTCAGCAAAGGGGGCGGTAGGAGATTTTATTCAGCGACAGCTGACGGTTCAACCCGAAATCACTTGGGATCAACTTAAAACTCAATTAAGAATACGCTTCGCTGACGTGGTAGATCCGCAACATGCTATTGATATGCTGTCCGCGATCAAACAAAAGAAGGACGAGAATGTAGAAGTGTATGCCGAGCGTATACTCGATGTAGTACAAGACGCATATAACGGGCATAGGGTAGGTGGTAATGCTGTGATAGACCAACAAATAGTTGGATTTTTCACCAAAGGGTTATACCATAACTATCTTCGTATGAAGGTAATGAGAGAAAGCCCAGAAAATCTTAACGATGCTCTTGCAGCTGCTAGAAGGGAGCAAAACTTTCGAAAGAGGTTTAATTTACAGTCGTATGGTCACGACTTTGGTGAGGAAAGAAACGTCCAGCCATTTCCGAAATAAGAGATGTTACAAGTGTAACAAATTTGGTCATAAGGCTAGGGAATGTAAGGGTAGGAGCGACATACCAGCCAGACGGCAGGTTAATGCTTACCAGCAACCCCAAAAGGTGGGACTGCAGTGTTGGCACTGTGGAGGGCCACACATTCGAGCTTCATGTCCACAACTTAGGGGTAGACAAACAAAAAACTAAGTAACTCCTGTCATAGTAGAGCCGATGATAGGAGAGAAAATTTAAAGGGACGTCGATCCATATTCACCATAAATCTATCTGGTAATCCAAATTCAATATTAGTAAAAATAAACAAACAGAAATTTAGGTCATTGGTTGATTCTGGGGCAGAAGTATCACTTATTCATAGAAGGGTGTATCGGATGTTAAAAGATCCTCCAGAGCTGAAGAAACAAAAAGTTGACTTGCAGTCTGTTAATGGAAGGTCATTGACTATCGATGGAGCTATAACGTTGACATTTCAGGTAGGAAATGAGACTTTGACACAGAAATTCTATGTAGTTAAAGACATGAATAGAAATATCATCTTGGGAAGAGATTGGCTTAGGGACAACGGTGTTAGACTGTATTTTGATTTGGGTAGTTTACGATTACGCAAAACATACGTGC